GCCACAAACACAATCCAAAGAAGAGAAAATAAAGAAAAATAAAAGTTACAAAGTACAGAACCTAAAATGATCAAACTCCTTCAACAAGTTATGAATATCAAACAGAATGGCATTACTACCCAAGTCACTATCAAATCTGGTATTAAGGGAATCAACCAGGCTGGGCTTGTGTAGATAACAGCAAAATTCCTTCCAGTCTGCTTGAACACCTTTGAGAAGAGTCCATCTGATCACTTCAAGCCACATAGTTTCCTCATCTGCATGACACCACAGCTTGTCCTTGAAATTTTGATCAGGAGCACCTTCTTTCTTAGCAATACATTCCACTTCAAGTTGATCCTGGGCAACAAAACAAGCACTGACAGTGATGATCCACTGACCTACCCTGCCTGGATCATCAAAATTCACAGCAACAGAATCAGCAATGTTAATAGATTCCTCTACCACATTGTGTTTTCTCCCTTCCATTCCCATCTCCAACCACTCAGCTTTGGCAAATTCCACCACCTTGTTCTCATCAACCCAATCCTGTCTAAACACCCAAGAACATCTGGTTTTCCAAAGCCACAAAAGGATATAAGTAGATAAACTAATTCTATCCTTGAGGCTTTCAGACCAGACATTCTTTATTGCTTCATTCCACTAGGGTCTAAAATTACCATCCACCTGCTCCAACACCTTCCACTGAATCCCACTCATTTTCCAGATTACTTTGGCTCTCTTACAATTAAATAAAATGTGATCTAGATCCTCAGGGACTTCTCCACACATTTTGCATATACCATCAATCTCCATTTTCCTGTTGAATAACTGGTCATTTGTACTGAGATACTTATGCCAGCATTTCCACAGGAAATGATTCAATTTAGGTTTAACATGAAGATCCCAAATTCCTCTCCAGATTTTTTTCCTGAAAACTCCCCTATCACTAGCCTCAACACCCCCACTCTTCAGAAACACATCATTGCACATAGCATCATCAGTATCCTTCACTGAATAAGCTCCCTTTTTCCCAAACTGCCATACTAATCTATCTTTTCTACCCCTCACAGAAAAAGGTGTATTTAAAATAGCCTTAGCGGACAAGGGATCAAAAGTTTGCAAAATGAGTTCCCTGTCCCAACCCCTACCCTCTGGGAGCAACAGGTCACTCACCCAACAAAGGGAATTTTTATCTGAGGAGAACTGACAAATAGGAGTGAAATTTTTTATACCAGCAACCCAAGGATGCTCCCAGATCTTGACACTCTTCCCATCCCCCACCTGAAATCTTGCCCCCAACACAAACCAATCTCTAACCCCAAGCCAACTTTTCCAGAGCCATGAATCCCCATTTCTAGGTTTGGCTTCAAAGATACTGGACTTAGGAAAGTACTTGCCTTTTAACACTTTACTGATCAAGAGATTAGGTTGAGTTACCAGTCCCTAGAGTTGTTTAACCAATAAGGCTGAGTTAAACAGTCTGAGATCTTTAAACCCAATCCCCCCTCTATTTTTGGTTGTAGGTACAAAATTGAGGTAAGGCGTTGTAGGTACTGAAAAGTAAAACTTCAAAATGGAATATATTTGACAGTTATGGCTTTAGCCTTTATGCACTGGGCAATTATGGAAATCAAGTAATCAAAAAAAATGTGGTCCCGTTTATTGCAAATCGATATGCCTGGACCTATCAAACCAAACTGCAATCTCTACAGTTTTCTGAAAATCAAACCAAATCAAAACCTAGCCAATAAAAAACTGAATTGCACTGCACCGAATCGTTCGGTTTGGCTCGATTTTTCGGGTTCAAATCATTTTTTCTTAACCCTAGAAGAAATCCTCTTCAATAACCTAATACTCAATTGAATAAAGGTCAGTCAAACTCTAACTTCAAATGACTGTTATTCTAGTAATTTGCAGTTCTAGATAGAGTTGCATTCAAGTGTTGTAAATATAGTAAAATGCTCTCCTTGCCAATGAGCATCATATGACAATGGCTAAGCTAATCTGTTGAAATAAAACCAAGACATCAAAATACTAACAGATAGTTCTAGTAGCTCATACGTACTCTTACATGTATTAGAAAAATAAAAAAGCGGTGGACACTGTAGGCAAGACAATAATAATAAAAAAATTAAATACCAAATAAAAATGTACACTTTAACTTATTTGATTATATTTGGTATTTGATTATGACAAATATATTCCTATTTAGTATATACATTAAATACTTACTAAAGTATTTATTTGTTTTATTTGTCAAAGTTAAGTATAGATTTGTTTATATTATCAAATCATAAGAAAATATTAAATCCATATTGTAAAAAAAAATCATATAATTTTATAACAATTCTACTACACTATTTAACAATATTTCTTTTTTATTAAATAATAAAATAATAATTAAATATTATATGGTGAACAACAATAAGTAAAACTGTTACTTTCTCTTATATCAAGGGATAAATTTATATGATAAAATTAAATTTTTATTAGTATAAATGTTTTAGTGAGATAATATATTAATTATTTTACAAGCTAGCCCTAACATGCTCATATTTAATGTTTTAAAAGATGTAGAAAAAAAACTTATAATAACTCTATTATTTTTTAGACTTAAACGTTGATTAAAAGATGTAAAAATTCCTAATTTTTTAGACTTAAACATTGATTAACACCATAGATTGAGAGTTTATATTTAGTAAAATTCCTAATTGTAATAAAAAAATTAATATTTGCTATATTTTAGAATATCTTTAAATTCATTATAAAAAAAGAAAGAAAGAAAAAAAATACAATGAAAAAAGCAAGTCAGCTATATATCGATTTGTTGTACACCTCAAATCACATTCACAATTTGGCTACAAGGAAAGGAAACTCATTGATTAAAATATTATTTTGCCAGTAGTCTTAATGTACAAGAGACTTTAAGACTCCACTTGAAGATTATAAAATTTTTATTGAACATTGTACAATTTTCTAGTGTATTATAAACTTTTATTGAATATTGCATCTTATAATATAATATTCTCCAAATAAATATATCTCGTGCTTCGCACGGGTCACGTACTATATATATCCCGTATATTTTTCTTTATTCATGTATATAATTATAAGCCTGGATAAATAGCCTTAAAATTGTTCACTCCGTGCATCACACGGGCTCTGTACTAGTTACTGTCCAATTCATTACACTTTACAGTCCAGTTCATTGCACGACAATGATAAATAAAATGTACAATGCGCGTTTATATACAAGCTCGAATGTAAAAAATTACAAAATTTATCAGCGAAATAATTAATATATATAAAAATAATGACAATAATTGAATCAACATAAAAAAAATTGTACCAAATTCATGTTAGTTGGGTCTCGTTCAATTTTGTGCAACCTGACGGGCATTTATGTGCAAGTCATATAACTATAATGTGCACTCGCAATGCATACAAAAATATAGATAAAAATAAACAATTAAATAAATAAAATTGATAATATTTTCATATAATTTGGCATGTTCAGTTATTTAATTTATTTAAATAGACTAAATTCGACAGTTAACCAACTAATGTTATTCGATTGATTATATTACTGAAATTTTTAGTATGTACATTGTGTTATTTCATAAAAGTGCAACATATAGATATTTGGTACGTTAGCATGCTTGTGTTTATTGGTACGTTATGTGATAAAGTGCAACATATTATTCTATAAAGTGCAACATGATATTTTATAAAGTACGATATTACTATATATAGTGCACTAGCTAATTTATATATTCCTAGATAAATTATGTGTATAATTGTACATCGAATTAATCTAAATAATTAAAATATTATTTATTATTTTTATTATATAATTTATTTATTCAACTTTATCTATTAATTAAAATAGTATTATTTGTTAATATAACACATACTAACTATCCTAAATGCCAAGAGCAAAAAATAAATAAATAAAATAAAATAAAATATTTGACTGATTCCACACGGGTCAATAAGTGCTTGGTCGTCTTGTCCAATTAGTCAAGCTTGTGAAATACACAAATAGTCAAAAAAACTTCACATTAGAATTGTTAAAATTGCACACAAGTCCCTATACATTATCTAATTCTCCAAAAAATAGTCCAAACCCCCATTTCAATATTCAACTTTTGAAATCGCCGGATCACCTCCTCCCACACCGGCGATAGAGAGTTTCGAGCTCCAGGAGGCGGCGGAGCGTCCGGTGATGGCGTCGCTCGATGATATCCACCTACATTAGCAATGTCTCCCACCCAACGACCGGCGTTAGAGGTCGCCAGAGATGAGTAGCCGCAGCGACGGAGGTTTGTCTTAAGAGGAATCGAAGGTTGGACGCCGTTGGATGTCGTCGGAGATGAACTGAGACGGCCAACGAAAGCGAATGGGATTACAGTAGATGCGGCGGCGGCGGCGGGCGGTAAGGCGCAGTGCAGTGATGGCGCGGCGGAGGCGGTGGTAAATATAGTGGCCAGCCGTGTGTGCTGTGTGTGACCGCCGACGGTGGCGGTGTGTGTATGTTCTCGCCGGCGGTCTGTGTGTGTGGGTCGCGTGGTGGTGTGTGTGTGTTGTGTGTGTAACTGTGTGTGTCACGTGTGTTTAATTAATGGTCAATGTGTGTCAGTGTATGAGAGAGAAGAGTGGGTGAGATGTGTGTTGTATAGGCCACGCGTCACTATATTATTGGATGGAGGTGAGTGTTAGTTGTCATGTGTTCCATAATTGATAATTAAAATGTCCAACATACTCTTAATGAATAAATAAATACTGGATTTTTTGTATCGTTAGATCGTTTGATCCGATGATTGTGATGTATTCTTATTTCTTTCACTGAAACCATTCTCACTGAAACTCAATTCTATCTATATGTACAATATTTTATAATTTTAAAAATCCTTACCTGTATGGATACACTCCAAATCTGTATGGACAACTTCGAGACACAGAGAACTTCCAAACAGTTAAAATTGACATATAAAGTTGCAACACACCAAAAATTAACACTTGGAATTTTTATTTAGGGACTGATAGCGGAGTCTCCATCTAAGGCTATCAAAGGTTACCATCACAAGGGGGCTCCATCTCAAAGGCTATGAAAGGTTACCATGACAAGTTCTTAAGTACATGTTAAACATTAATGCATGCAAGCACTGAGATAATAATTATTAGCTACATCTACATGCTAGCTGAGAATTAACATCAAAGTTAGTCACAGTTCAATAAGGTAATTAAATATAGTAATAATAATGGAAGCATGCCATTTCAGATTATGAGCATTCTATGATCCAACTATAAAATAATTTACAAAAAGTATTTCATCCTGTCGTCCCTTCTCATAGCATTATAGACCGCTTGGACCTGGGAACATCACAATCGATTATGTCAAATAAGATATATAGATGCCAAAAAGACATAAAATAAATACTCCACGAAGTTTACACTGCCCTAATTTTCTTTGTTCATCAATATTTTCCAGTTGCACCACGAAAATGAATGGAGATATTCACAAAATCATTTTCCAAGTGAATCTGCTAGTTTGGTTCATTATTTAACTATCTTTTGTTGCTCATCAATGTGCTCTTCATGTAAAGGGTGCTTAAAGAAGAGCATAATGTGTCCGAAGCCCAAAGGCCTACTACTTTAACAAGTTGCACGTTCGGTTGCGTCCAGACTATTAGTTATATATTTGTAATTTTTAGCATTCTTCAATAGTTATTATGACACCATCCAGACTAGTTGCTTCATATTTCTAATTTTTTTAGCATTCTTCAACGATATGATGACACCGTCAAGCCCTATATCTTTTTTCTTAAAAAATAAAGGATAACAATAGGAAGAAAAAGTATTTAAAGAAAATAAAAAGGACGACAAAGAACTACTGAAGCCCAAAGGCCTTGCTGGCCTCGCTACAACCGAGCAAGTGCCACCAGAGCAGCTTGGCCGCCTCAGCAGTTCTTCAGGTTTTTACTTTTCTTATCTTATCTATTTTTATTTCATCCAGGTTTTGCTGTTTTCGTTTTTTGGTCTGTTTTCTTCTAGTTGTTGAAACTTTTAGATTCAACAGATGTCGATGAATATTAGATGAATGAACAGCACAAACAGATATAGGTTAGAGGGGGTTGCACCTGCTCACTGGAAACAACTTGCACAGGTCCAATGTTCACAGAGACATATTTGCCACCCGAGGATATCTTCTGTTTCACTTGACCCTGCAGCAGAGACAAATTCGCATTTTAAAGATTTGTTACTATTTTTTCCTTGTCTCAATTGAGAAGTGAAAGTGACAATGATCTATTAATTTCTCTCATCTTACAACCACATTTCTAGGAACTTCCACATGTGTCAGTAAATAAGCCAATTTTCTAGGAAATAAACGTTCTAATATCAAACATATAAAAGTGACGTGGTTTAGGCTTTGGCACAAAACCAACAGAGATATACAATCCAAGTATCCAAGCTGCCCAACCGATACTATGTACTGACATAGTCATGAAAGGCATAATAACAATCACTTGTGTGACTAAATACGAGTTCATTGCCAACAATATTGCCTTCACATTCTATACTTCACTGGGGAAACACAAACATACTCAGTATATAGATTATCATATGCAGATATATGTCAAAATCAGAGATGTGTATAAATGTGTATTATATATATAATAAAGAGTTCTTCGAATTGTCAAGGCTCGTCTAGACCCCCTATGGAGAATTTGGGAGAGTGACAAGGCCCTATTATTTTTCCTAAACAGTAAAGCACCTGTTACATGTCAAAAATGATTTGGCAATTTGAAAAACCAAGCAGACAGCAGAAACCGTGTCTCCATACCTTGTTTTCCTGCATAAATAAAATAATAAAGCACCAGTCCATGTAAAAAATGCTTAAAAAAAAGCAGAAGCGGTGTCTTCTGTATATATCTTTCAAGCCAGTCAATGCCACCTTATTAGAGTCACTGCTTTTAGTGTGCATTATCAGTCCCTCTCTTTCACATCAAGCTTTGCGGCATAAAACCGCATGAATATAAGAGCCCCCACAAAAGAATCACTCATGATTGTAGAGACAAATCCTGCAATACGGGATGAAAAGACTTCCTCTTGATTACCTACTCCAGATTACGAGAATAGGAGATTTGGTGGGGAACAAGGCTGTGAAAGGAATTTGACCATGAGGTATAACTACACACGATTAATCTAAAAACAATCGGTGGAAATAGCAGCCCAAATACCATTTCGGTACATGCATCTGAAACAACAGAGCTTGAGAAGCCTCAAGGGGGTGTCGATTCTACTGTTCGGCAAACCCATATTGGGCTGGTGTATCAACACAAGAGGATTCATGCAAAATATCATGATGAATCATAAAAGACTAAACATCTGCAGAATAATGTTCTTTTGCATTATACGAACATAAGTTCGAAATTGATTTCTAATCTCATCACAAAATGAAGTAAAGTAGAAGAATTTATGAACGATTTTTCATGAGAAAGAGCGAACATGGGAGTAATCATCAATAAGTAACAAAGTATTTGAAACCAGTTTGAGACACAACTGGACAAGGACCTCACACATCGGTGTGAACTAACTCGAATGGGGGCGCAACCCTTTTATTAATCCTAAGACCTAAATTAACAAGCGAGTGTTTGGCAAACTGACATGAATCACAAGATAATGAGGATAACGAAAAACTTGTGCACGCATATTAAGATTCTGAAATCTGAGAGAAGGATGGCCCAACCAAATGGTGAGGTGGTAGAGCAACCAAGAGAGCGTGACCCAAAGTCTCAAGCACATTGAGCTCGTCAGATTCATGACCTCTACCAAGGATCATTTTCGTCAAAAGAAATGATATGAAAAAATGAGACTACATTTCAAAGATATGGTAAGTTTGAAAGCAAGTTGAACGAGAAATTGGGTAGACTTAATACTGAGTGTAGGGAGCTATTTTGGTTTGTGTGAATAGATCCAGAGCCAAGAACTTGTGGAGTTGGCCCATCAGCTATAGGACATGAGTAGAGTGTACATGAGTTTGAAATGTGGAAAAGAGGTTTTGGTTACTTGTCATGTAATCGGATGAGTCAATTATCCATTTTGTGCCCTTAGAGGAGAGACACGTCGCAGCCTTACCAATATCAACAAATACAGCCGTAGGTGTTTAGGGTTTCACGGTCTCAATAAGATGGGCATATTCCTCGGGTAAGATAGTCAATATCTCAGAAGATTGAAGCAAGTAACATTAGCAAAACGACCTGTCTACAGCAAATTCTTCTCACCCCAATTCGGACAAGTGTGCTTAGTATGCCCATGTTCATGACAATAAAAGCATTCCATATGGTCAATGTTCGAATTATGATTACTGTGAATGGTTGTACACCTTCCACGAGAGCCACCTCGAGAATTACCATCGCGACTCACAAGGGAACTAGCCTGAGAAGCGGGCAATGGTGCCTGAATACTTTCTGGATGGAGAAAGCATGTGAATGTTTCTTATAGAAGGTATGGTAGACTCAAACATAAGTTGGGTCATGAAAGTATCGAATTCAAGACGTAGTGATAACAGCAATCTGTTTCTGCGGTCGTTGCATCTCTTTAACATTCGCGCTCAATGGAAGGAGTGAATTGAGTTCTTCATAAATTCTATTGAATTCTGTAACGTATGCGAGTTTTGTCCTGTTGTTCGCCCCTAAGGACTTGCAAACCGAGTAAATGCGGGAGATATTACTATGACTAGCGTACAAGAAAGTCAAGACATTAATTCCTTGACCAATTCACAATGGTTGGTCAGTAAGAGTATTTCTGGCTTCAAGACCAGTAGCATTGAATCATTTGGACCCAGCATGTTTGGTGTCATAAGTGGGAGGGTCCAAATCAAGGTGATCGTCTTTGTCAATGCTTCGCAAATGTACCGTAATAGTTTCACTCCAACCAAGAAAGTTGGAACCATTGAGCTTAACATCAATAATTTTGTTTGTAATTGGAACAATTTCACAAGCAACTTTAGTCTCCGTCATAAAATATATATCAACAAAAATGTCCCGGATGAACATAATATTAATAAGAAGCTAGAAATAGTCCCAAAATAAAATACCAAAATGGACAAAACCAAAGCAAATACCAAAACTGAACTTCCCAACCTCTGAAACACAAAACCGAGAACAGAAGCAAATAGCACAGGGAATTCCGAGCAACTGGAATTCGGCCGGACTAAATTCTGACAAGGCATGTGCCCTCACGCGCCGGCGCGTAAGTTCTGCCGCAGAAAATATGGTTCATACACGTGGAAGAATGTGAGACTCGAAAATCCCACAAAATGAAACCTAAGCAAATGACAGGTAGGGTTGTTTCTTGAAGAATTATAAAAACCTAATTTTGGTCTGGAGACAATAGAAAATTTAGCAGCTATGATACCATGTTATCACAGAGAATTCTGTATCTTATTCATTGGTCAAAGAGTACACGAGTCCTATTTATATACACGACTAAGAGCTAACCGAATCCTAATCAAATCTCTTAATTGCAGATAGTATATATTCTTTTCGAAGGAATTTTCATGAACAAGCACTAGTTTGATGGGGAAAAAAGGCTATTCTATATTTACACAATATACACCAACAACAAGAGAGGTGGGCGAAAGTATCCTCAAAAAAACCATTTAGTTTGCAGAGTATTTGATGACAATTTCATCAGTGACTCGGTAAATGCTGCAACCATATTTTCCTGCTTCACAAGTAACAAATAGTGTTGCACATAGAGTGTCGAGGCCATCCCACTCAACTCCTTAAAAATTAGGTTTGGTTACATATTTTAGTGTTTGAAGGTATCTACATTGCCAGTGGCTGGTCATTTTTCCTATTTGCATGATTTGGCTGAGTTGAATAATAAGGAAAATAAAATCTTCAAGGCATTATTCTAAAATCACGCTGATGATATCTGGAAATGATACTTTAGATCCAGAACTCTATGTATCATAAAAGGTAGAAAAGGCGTACATGATGCATGTGAGCCATAAAAGCCATGCAAATAGTCACCATGAACCACTTGCTTCAAATGTGTTATGAACCTAGATTTCTATACTTTTTTTCGGCGATTTTCTGTAATTTTTTGGTGAATGATAGAGAAAAAAGTGAGGGATAAGAATTCAGACGGGATGGCAAGAGCGAACTTGAGAGAGAATATTGAATTTTTATATTAGTGTTTATCATAGGGCCTGTTACGGCTTATCATAGGCCCTGTTACAAAGCCGTAACTAATATGACAAAACTAATATAAATTAAGTAGCTAAAATATTAATTCACTAAAAATCTCCAGAAGGGTATTGTCCATAGATCGGGTACATGACAAAATGCAGAAGTTTCATACGGAATTCCAATATAAGATACTTACTTGTGGAATAGGGTGTTGAAGAACTGATTCAACGGCAACAACCATAGCGTGAACAAAGTCATCCCCCCCAGTTCCAATTGCAGTAAATCCTCTAGCTGTTGGATATGAGTTCACCTTTGAAGCAAGTCAGCAACACATGCATAAATTTGACGTCATTAACATTCAAGTGAACAAAAGATAGCACTAAAACTGGATGAACACTGGTGCACAGATATATGTTTAGGATCAATGTGACAATAGTCTTCCTAAATTTCATTACCTTTAGAAGTCATTCAATATATACAACAAAAGAAAATTGCACAACCATCCATGCCTGAAGAAACTAACTGCTGGAAGTATGTATCAATTCAAAGAAGCAGTAAGGAGACCGTATCAACTCAACAGAGCTGCTAGGAGGCCAATAGTGTAGACATGAATGTACAGAAACATACCTTCTGATCTAGAGCAAGCCACTCATTCGTTGAATCATCCGTAACGGTACCTCCCATAACTACATTAGTAGTTTGTCCCACTCTTCCTTCAGCCTTGGAAACTTCTAAAGACGCCCAAAAAAAAGTATCATGAACCTTATAAAATTAGCACCAAAACAGAAATTAAACACGAAAACTACTGAAAATTTACTCCATCACAAACTTAAATCCTTTGTAACCTTGCAGCATGATAGTCTACCACAGAATATCTAATAACACAGATCAATCAAAATGGCATTCTTAATATTTCCTTGAAAAAAATTAAGAAAAAAGGTTAAAATCAGATAATCGTTAACAAATTAGAACATAATAACTGAATCAAACAAGAAAGACGCGGAGTTGGACGTGTTCATGCTCAGCGCAAATAAGACCAAGAGGATATATATCAGTTACCGAGTAATACACATGGTAAAGGATAAGATAACCAAAAACCAGCGAAAAGTAAATTTGCAAGACCATCGAGATTAGAGTTAAAAGTTACAAATCTGTCCAGCTATACCTGATATAGCCTTCAAAACGGCTTCTTGAGGAGGGCCTTGCTCCGAATCAGCACCAGGTAAAGACGAGTTCACGTCATTTGAGCAGTTCCTTGAGAAATTGCAGCGTTTTGCCACTATTGCAGTTTTACAACCGCAATTTGAATTTGGTGAAGCGATTTTCCGGCGGGTTAATACAATTGGTGGAAAAATGGATGGTTGTTTGTTAATAGAAGACATAGGCAGCCATGGCTCGGTCAAGCAAACGGTTCTCAAAGCAAGCCTACACGCCATTTTCGAACCTTTTCGTGTTGAACAAAACCCCGATTTTCCGACTGTAACTTGCTTTCACGATATCATACACCAGTATGTAGTTTGAGTTTTTCAGTTTAAAATATTTTATTAAAGATTTTTTTTGCTCTGTCGTGCAACTGAGAAGATCACAACGGATTTCGCTCATAAGTTGTAATTAATAGAGTTGTAAACGAACTGAGCGTTCGCGAACGAGCTTGAACTGAGCGTTCGCGAACAAAAGTTTGTTCGAGCTCGTTCGTGTTCGACAAAAACTTGTTATTTGTTAATTGAGTCGAGTTCGAACAGAAAATTAAACTCGTTTAATAATCGAACGAACACGAGCTCGTTCGTGAACGTTCGATTATGTTCGCGAACATTAATTTAATATTATTTTATTTTATTTTTATATATTTATATAATATTTTAATAAAATATCTAAAATTTAATACAATTTTATTTATTTTTTATATATTTACATAATATTTTTTATAAAATATCTAAAATATAAAAATACTTTTGTTTTATTCTTTTATTTTCGACTTCGAACGAATTTGAACGAACAAATTTCGAGTTAATCAAACATATTTAAAAAGTTTATGTATTAAATTATTCGAACACGAACGAACTCGAACTTTGACGAACAATTAAACGAACGAACTCGAATACGATTTTTTTGCTCAAAAAATAAACGAACGAACACGAACGTTGTTCGAACGTAAACGAACACGAGCTCAAACAACCCAAGATCGGTTCGGTTCGGTTCGTTTACAGCACTAGTCGTAAACAACCGGTTCTACACTTTTGTAGGCGAAAAACACCAGAATGTTAGTGTTATATACTGAAAGCTTGGCTTTTCATGTTATTACACATTTGCCCTTTATGAATGAGAATCATGTTAGATTAAACAAGTTCTACGTTCTGTTGTTCGGCACTTAGATAGAGTGAGTCGTCATCGTGCGAACCGAAGATCATTCTATCAGTTATTTGCGAACAAGAATAGTGGTTCACAACCTAGATGGAAATGAACACCCCATCCAAACAGTTGTAGTGTCAACTGTACAGTTTGTCTTGGCTGATTAGTTGCACTAGTACATTTATGTATTGAACAGGATCCCATAGAGGAGAAGTTCATTTTATACTGATCGTCGTAAATGAACTAGGCCTCGATTAATTACTGTATTCTCTTAATCCGTGAGATATTAAACAAGCATATTTATGTAGTACATATTACTTTGATTCACTTGGGTGAGGTTCAGTTCGATGGATTAATATTCCTACTGTTTTGGGTAATATTACTATATATAGGATGTACTGTTAGGATATTTACGGTCACCATGTGCATTAGATTGATGATGTCTCCGAAGTGAGTTCATGAAGGATTGTTATGCTAAACCCTGCAGGTGGATTAAGTTCCGGCATAATAAGAATGTGATGAACGAGCGCTAGCTTCGGTGAAATAATAATAAATTAATTAATTCTTGATTGTCGAATTAATTAATGGACATTATATCTTAAACATGCGGAGGTAAATCGAGTAATTATAATTGGAGTCTCAAATGTAATTTGGGCTAGGGAAAGGGAGTGCAATAATATAATGTTGGTGACCCATTAATATTATTTAATTAATTAGAGGAGTAAGCTTGACCCACAGTTAGTCTAATTATTTAAGGAGCCGCCCCATTTATCTCTCTCTCAGTTCTCATTCGAGCTTTATCTTCTTCTTGTTGCTCCACTGGTACAAGTTGAAGAGGTGTTTGAGTAACACAGTAGAAGATCCATAGGTAATCGAGACCAGGTGATCATCTACTTGCAGTTGACGTATCACGAGTCGAAGGACGCGAGCCGTCAACCGAACCGACGCTGCCAGACCAGCCAAAGATCCGCCGCCGATGGCGACCAGCCGACGACCCTCCCGGCGACCGATCGCGACACGACCGAGCCCGACACCACACGACCCAATCCACGTGAGCCCGAGAAAGTTCTGTTCGTGTGATCCAGCCTGTTACGGCCATCTGAAAGATCAACCAAATCGCCATAAATTTTAAGCTATAAGTTCTCTATGTCAAACCTTTAGATCCGCTGGGCATAGGTTTACGTTTGCTATTGAATTCGTGATTTATGCATAACGAGATCCTCACAGGTCCCAACAAGTGGTATCAGAGTACTTGGTTAATTCGTTTTGTACAAAGTTCGAATTTTTATGGCTTTATTTGACAAGATGTGTTCAAACGCACCCATATGTTGGATTATATTTGCATAACTCGGTTTTGCAAGAAAATAATTAATCCACTATTATGGCCGACTATGTGTTTGATGAATGTTGTTGAATGTGATGTATGGTTTTAAATTTGTTTTTAAGGCCTCGGACATGTCGAGGAATTGATGGATGAATGTTTGTAATAATTATTCGCTCGGGGGTTGACCGGATAGATTTAATTATTTTTCTAGAAAACATGTACATCCATTCGTTGGATCTAGGATCGGATTATGTAATTTTCTAAATTATATTTTTCGTGTTGTGATCGTGTATTGATGACCGGGAGATCACAAGAGATCAATGAGCCTCAAAGAAATAAAAAAAAAATGGCGCGCGCGTTTATCCGACCACCAGCAGCAGAGGGCGGCGGCCAGGCGGCGGCGGCGGATAGCTGCTAAGGGGTGGAGCGGTTTAATTGATGATCAAGCAGTACAATATCAACCAGAATTCTACGGCTAAAGGAGTTCTAGTTGAACAGGGAAAGAAATGTCAAAGTTTCCTTGTTTAAGGAGACTCAATATTTAATGGCCATAATAGTGAATTTGTTTATTTATTCAAATTCATTATGACACTAATTATTATTTATGCATGTTAATTTATTATGTTCTTGCATGGGATAAATTTAGTACTGCATATTTGCATGAATAATTATGCATGTTAATTAATTATGTTTTTGCATTTAGAATTGTATCAATAAATTATGCATGTAATTAATTATCGCACTGGCATAGATTAATTTAGAATTGCATAAATTATTATACATGATAATTAATTATTGCATTGACATAGATTAATTTAGAATTACATGAATTATTATGCATGTTAACTAATTATTGCATTAACATAGATTAATTTAGAATTGCATAAGTAGTTAAAAATCCTGATTAAATTATACTAAGTTTGACAAAGAATTTTAAATTAAAGTTAATTGTAAAATTCCTTAGGCCTCCATTTCTAATTTGTCGGTAAATCAATTAGTTGAAGAATGGGCTTCCCCACGGATGACATCACTAAAATTAATTGTATAAAATTACCAGGACGAATTTCTAAAATTAGACGGTTAGAGGAAATTTTAAGAGAGCGCACGGGCCTCCCTACGGGGGACGTGTAATCGATTTGGATGACCTCAGAATCGAGAAATGGGATTCACTTAGAATGCGATTTATTTATAAACTCCCCACGGGGTCCCTGAATTTATTGCATGGCAAATGGAGACCGACTATTAATTTCGTTCGTCATGATTTTGGTTTTGACTTATGGAAAATAATGGGCCCTTGAAAAGCCCTTCTCTTACAAAATGCGAGTAAGTGGGGCGACCCACGTAGCATGCATTCTCACGAGGTGTAATAGATGTCGGTGAATTTAGTTAATATTTTTTTAAGGATTTCAATATTAGCAGTTAAATTTAAATGTGTTTAATCTGTAAATTACTTGCATAATTCTCAAGATATTCATCATGTCGTTCAATCTGTTGTCTGTCATTCTAAAACAAAATCAATTTACTGGTCCTAATTACATTGATTGGAAGAGGAACTTAGACATAGTGTTGAATGTGAGGGCTATAAGTTTGCTATCAATGAGGCTTGTCCGGCAGTGCCAGCGGCTGATGCTCCTGATCAGGAGAAAGAGAAGTATGCTCGGTAGAAGAAGACTAATGAGATGGCGAAGTGTTACATTCTGGCTTCTCTGTTGAATGTTCTTCAACATCAGCATCAGTCTATGGGCACTGCACCAGATATACTGCTCAACCTCAGGAATCTGTTCGGACATCAGTCTAGGGTTGCTTGGCATGAGGCTTTAAGTGCTCTGATCAGTACGCGCATGGCTGAGGGCACACCCGTAAGGGAGCACGCCCTCTGGGTTATGGCGCAGCTCAATGAGCTTGAGGTTATGAGAGGTTTTATTGACGGGGAAACCTAGGTTGATATTATGCTCCAGTGTCTATCGAAGAGCTTTGATCAGTTTCGGTTGAACTAGAACATGCACAAGATGCATATGGCTCTTCCAGAACTGCTTGCAGAGCTTCAATCGGCGGAAGCCTTATTCACTCAGGCTTCTCAAGTGCTAGTTGCTGAGCAGGCTGGACCTTCTAGGCCTTATAAGGGTAGGAAGAGAGAGAAGTCTGCAGGAAACGCGAAGGCACATGATGCTCCGGTTGCCACGACTGGCCCCTCATGGTGTGGCAAAGAAACCTAAAGGAAGATGCCACAAGTTCAACAAGTCAGGACCCTAGAAGGTCGACTGCTATCTCCTCAAGAAAGGTAACTCTCTCGTTAATGTCGTAGAAACATGTTTAGCGGTTGTATCTGCAAAAACCTGGTGTGTAGATATTGGAGCCACTGATCATGTCTGCAATTCTTTGCAGGGGTTCTAGGAAACCAAGAGACTTAGGGAGGAAAAGATCACCGTCTACATAGGCAATGCTATGAAAGTGGCGGCTGTTGCATTGGGAGACGTTACTTTATCATTTGATAGTAGCAGTTTGGTTTTCAGAAATTGCCTTTATGTTCCTAGCTTTAGAAAGAATCTTATTTCAGTTTCTAAACTCGTTATGGATGGTTTTTCAGTTTCGTTTAATGACATGGTTATAATTCGTTTTGGAAATCGTTTCACATGTTATGGTCCATTAGTTGACAATTTATATGTTCTCAAACCAAACTCTCCCACAGTGCAACAAAATGAATTGAATAATGTCATGACTACGTCTAATAAGAAGAAGGAGTCTTCGCAGATGAATCAAGCATATTGTGGCACCTTTGACTTGGGAACATCAACCTTAGAAGGATGCAAAAGTTAGTGGTCAGTGGACATCTCGCTCCATTGAAGAGCACTATCCAACTTGCGAATCATTCTTGGAAGGTAAGATGGCCAAGAGGCCATTTGCGGCAAAGGGGTATAGGAGCTAAGAAGTG